AAAATATGTGGAAAAAATTCTGTTTTATCTCGTAGGGTTCGAGCTTCTTTCTGCGCTGCCTGCTGGAATCGCTTACGACGGCTTAGGTCCTAAAAAATGCGCAGCACTCGGCGCATTACTCAGCATTTTGGGTAGTACTATTTGGAGATATAGCTACTTAAACGATATAATGCCGATTTTATATTGTTTTTGTTCCGGATTCGCATGTAATTTCATGGGGTTTGCGGCGCTTGAACTGAAAAACCATTTCTCAAACGCCAGTTTTGCAATTTCGTTTAGTATTGCGGCTCAATGTATGAGTGGAATAACCAGTATTATCATCTGGAATGTCTGGAAAAGATTTCCGAACGTATCATTCTCAACGGTGAATTTGATTTATTTGTTTGGCATAGTCATTCCGTTATCTTTGTTAGTCTATTTGTCTATACCGAACACAGTCCACGTTCAGCAACATGAAGAAAAGCCATCTTTCAAACTTTATAAAAAACTGATTTTCAATCCTGTTTTTGCCATTGTTGGATTGCTATCTTTACTGGGAATGGTCTTGGCAAACTATTGGACAGTCATTGCGTTTGATCATTTCGGAAAGCCAATAGCTGATTTCCTTGGATACATCAACCCTTTACAGTTTTTTGCCACTTTGTTGTTTGGGTATTTATCCGGTCATTATAAACCTTCAACAGTCGCAACTTTTATGTTTCTTTGTTACTTTGCAGGATATTCTATTTCCTTAATGAATAACGACATCTTGATATATTTATCTGCTATCTTAATCACGATCGGTATGTCGTATACTTATTCCTACAAGTATAGTCAGCTAGAAGTACTCGTGCCCAAAAATACTTTTGGAGTGATTGTCGGCTTAAACGGTGCTTTTAGTGGTTTAGGTATGTTCTTCAACGATGTCACCTCGTACGTTAAGAACGAACGTCAAATATTAAAAATATTATCGTTCACTGCTTTTATTTGTATAATTATGGCTTTGTACTTGTCATTTGGTAAATCTTCTGCAAGTTTAAAAATGACTTTTCAAAATAGCGGAGTAGACTCAAAAATAAATTCGTCTGGTATTATTGAGACGATGAAGGCTATTATATAAAACATTGTTTACTACAAAATTATTTAACGCTTCTATTTGGACGGTACAAATATTTACAATGAACTTATTTTCGAGTACTATTTGATAGTAAAAAAGAATCAAGGCTTGTGTATCATCGATATATTTGTTTTTATTGACCTCTATAAAACATGTTGTTCTATAAAAATGCAAAAAAGTTTTATCGATCTCTGAACAGTTAATCGAACAGATATTCCACAAAAAAATATAATTCGTATCGAAGTGGTCTACGTATCTAAAAATTATTATTACCAATATACGTTTGTTTTACAATATTAATGTTTACTAAGGGCAACATTACCGTTGTCGTATTTACTTCTTCGCTGTTGCCGCCAAATAATATACTATACATTTAAAAAAGTTAAAGCCGGTCGTACTACCATTGATTTCTAATCATGACGATTTGTTTTTTAAACCGGCATATTTGATACACATAAGGAAAAATTTTTTTTTGCAGTTCTGCAAATTTATCATTAACTGTTAAGTTTAGGTTTTTATATCCACGTTCTTGATAGAATAAATAAACGTAATTTTAAGAAGAGTTAGATATTTATATATGAAAATACGGAAAACGTTTCACTGATTGTTAATACAGTAATCATAATTTGACGGTCAAAAGCTTTAAAATAAGATCTACGATTAAAAAGCTATATTTTAATCGACTGATCTAAAATTAAACTCTTTCTCGTTGCCGTTCAAAAAATAATAAATCAAAAACTACACACTAATTCAATATTTAAATTTTATTAGCCTTATTGGAAGTGAGTGATTTACACTTTCGTTGCCAAGTCGGTCAAAATAAATATTTATATTGCATAAATAAAAAAGCCTTTACTACTAAATAACGATGTCTGAAGTTAAGTCAAACGAATCAAATATTCAGATCGACCAAATGGTCGCGTTTATCATCAATGAAGCCAAGGACAAAGTTAGTGAAATAGAGTTGAAGGCTTATGAAGACTACAATATGGAGAAATTAAAAACCATACAAACTAAACGGGCTGAGATTGTCAGAAATATAGAGAATCGGTTCAACGAACACAAAAAAAATATTATGATTAAAACATCTGCTCTTAAATTGAAGATGAGATTGCAGCTTTTGACGCAGCGTGCTTTAAAAGTAGAAAAAATACAAGAAATGTGTCTGAAGCGAGTGAACGAGGAAATAACAGACTTAGATTTTTATACGAAGTTTTGTAGCGACTTAATTGTCGAAGCAGTAATAAAGCTGCATAGCTCGGATATTTTTGTGCAGTGCTTGAGGCGTGACTATGCTGTATGCAAAAAGGCTTGTAGCCAGGCTGAACAGAATATTTCGAAGCTATTTGCCGAGCATGGATTGAGTAGCGCTACAATAAACATTGAATTAACAAAAGACCACTTGGACGATGAATATGACGAGTCGTTGGAAGAAGTAGTTGGAGGAGTTATTGTATCTACAAAAGATCAAATAAAACGTTTAGATAACACGATTAAAACTAGACTAGACTTAATATTTAACTCTTTTCTGTGTGAATTGCGTAATGTTTTGTTTGAAGATTAGAAAATATTTAAGCATCATGTAAATTACATAAATTAAGTGATTCTATGCTATATATGAAAAGTTTACGTGATATATTAATAAATAATCGCTTCGTGTCCAGCGAAGAACTCATTATTTTCTGGAAGCGGCTCATCTTTGTTGGGGTCAAAACCTGGCATAGAGCGGATTAAATCGCACATTACGTTTCGTACTCTGTATTTGAATTCATCTACTGTCTCACTTGGGTAAGGTTTCATAAGATCACCGAACTTGGCGTATGCAGTACCTGGATACATCCCAATAACGCCGACTGGCCAAAGTTTTTGAGAGTTGAACGAAACCATTGGAAGTACTTGCCAATTGTTTTCAATTGCAAACCTGAAAAAACCGCTTTTGAACGGTTGGAGACGTGAGGCGGACCCTCGCGTGCCTTCTGGGAACAGTAAAACTGGCATACTGTATTTCTCATCAGTGTCTTTGATTAAGTTCATCGATTTCATAAGTTCAGCTTTGTCAATAGTTGGTTGTTTTTTAGTTTTAGTTGGAATAGGTATATCTTTGGACAATCTTAATATTCGGCCGTAGAAAGGAATATTCAAAAGGCTTTTTTTAAACACCCACTTCGCTTCAATCGTTCCGAGCGCAGCTGAAACCAACCATGGATCGGCTTGAGTAAGATGGTTGCAAACAATCAGTACTTTTCTTTGGTTCTTGATGTCTTTTGGAGGATCGTTTAATGTTTTGACTGACCAAAACGGATTCAACTTAACAGATATCAACACCGTCCAAAATCGAAGCATGCGTCCCATCCAGTAGTATTTGTGTCGAGGGTTAAACAAATAGATGGGCCACATGGTCAACAAGTACAAAATCTAAAAAATGTAAAAAATAAATGTCAACGTACCTGAAAAATAAATCCGACGAGCAAACCGTTCATTAAGGTCAGAGTTATATAGTATGAAACCAATTTCTGCTTGAAAGTAACACGCAACTTTGCTTTTTTCTGTATCTCACATTTATCCATATTAACTACGTTTATCTTCGTTTCTAAACTTTAATTAATTGTCTAATTATGAAACCTAGTTTTTCGATCTGGAATAACTATGAAATTAATTCAAGATATTAATTGTTGGATATTTTGTTATAAATAATAAAATTACAAAAATTAATTTTATTTCTGCATTGAATGAAAAACCAATTCTAATAAAGTTACTCAGTCAGGTTATTTTTTATTCGTAAAACGAAACTATAGTGTCACCCCGTATTATTAATAAACCCAGTTCTCTGTTTAAATTTTTTTCTTCTTCGTTAGAAGCACTTTTCTTTTCTACTTTGTGCTCGAGCGCATTATTTAATACAATATTCATATGTGTGTCGATAGCTAACAAAATGCCAGATATTTTTTTATTGCTACGTAAGATTATTGTGATTTGATGACCAACATAATCTTGGATTTTTTTTTTCATTGGGTGTAGACGGTATTAGCAAGGCGGTGTTAAAACGTAGTAAGTCTTGGGTTTGTACGGATACAATAAAATTATGTCGTGATATTCTATAAAAAAATAAATGTAGATTTATTTAATGGCAAGTGAAAAATGACCGAATTTTCAACGAATTAATTTGGTTGGAGACGATTATTAAATATCGTATTGGACATTCATTTCATTGGATGTTCAAAAGTACATGAAAAAAATTAACATTAAGACAACTTAATGAATACGCAGCTGGTTTGGAACGTGCAGCCGGTAGATTCGTTAACCGGTTCGCTTGAAAAGGAAGGAAAGCCATTTATTTTATTTGAAAAAAATATCGTTTACGAAGACAATGACGCTGTAGGCCTTAATAGTTGCAAGTTTCTTTCTGTGTTTGTGATTATCATTCACCAAAACTTTGTTCCATACGTTTTGCTACTTTGTGATACCAACAAAAATGGCGACAACGCTTACGGACTGCCGTCTTTTTGGCTTTCGTACACGAACAGCCAGGATGTCGTTATTAATGAGTTTAAAAAACGAATTGAAAACAAACAAAATTTCAAATGCGAGCTTATCGGCACTCTATGGAGAACTTCCAAGTCTTCTGATTTCGTCAGCCTTCTACCTCCACACTGCAGACAACCATACCAAAGAATCAACTACTACTCTATTATGTACTCAGGCAAATTATCGCTCAAAACGTCTAAAGGAACGAGAATTAAAGGCGCCCCGCTGTTTCAGCTTGCAATTTTACCTAAAATCTTGAATGTGATTCCTTATTTCGTAAGCAGGTACAAGTTACGGTTTGAATACGAACAACGTTAGTTTTAACCGCCGAAAAAATAATTAAAAAATTTTCATTTTAGTTTAGAAACATTACTCAACCATGGCTAAGCCAACCAATCGAACAAGAAAAACTCCTTTGGAGGAAAATATAAAACATATAAAATCAAAATTAAGCAGTTGTAAAAATCCACCTGCTGAAATAGTCGAGCTTGTCGAAGCGCTTTCTAGAACTGCCACTGTTGACTCGGCCAAAGATGTGGTTACATACGCTTCTTGCAGCTTTCCTGGACCAAGAAGATTTTCCTCTTTAGCTTACAACAACAAGAATTTATATTTTTACGGCGGTGAACACGATGACGGCAAAAATGCTAAGGCCTTTTCTGACACAATAATCGCTAACTTGAATCAATTAGATTCATGTAAAAAGCTAAGTAGTAAAGTGTTTCCTTTGTTGAGATCTGGTCACGCGATGGCTAGCTTTGAAGGCGGTTTTTTTATTCATGGAGGTGAATTTTTGTTCGACGATATCAACTTTTGTTACAATGACTTGTGGTTTTTTGATTACGCAAAAAAAAGATGGTTCGAAATTGAGCTGACTGGAAACGTGCCGGCTGCGCGAAGCGGCCACCGAATGACCTATCATCAAGGAATTATTTTCATTTCTTGTGGTTACTCAATGCTGCCTAATGGCGTTATCTCAATATATCACAACGATTTGTACGCAATTAAGCCAACTACAGGAGAATGTAGACAAGTCAACGTGCAAATGAAAAGTCGCATTTTCACTCCTCGCAGTGGATGCCTGTTAACTTCTTGGAATGATAAAATAATTGTCCTAGGAGGTTATTCATTGTTGGATCTTTCGGAAAATAATTTGCAAGGGTCATTGAGCAACGAGATGTGGCAGTCAGACATTTCTCACATTATGCGATTGTTTTCTGAACACTCGAACCAAGTTATTCCAGAAGAATTGGAATGCATTAGATGGGAAAAAATCCCGAAAACCTTTTTTTATCGCTGCGCCAGTGCTTCCACTGTGAATAAAGGATTACTGTACATGTTTGGAGGAGTGATTGATGACGACAGAGGCGGTTTGAACCATCAAGTGACTTTCTTTTTCAATGACGTAACTTGCATCGACTTAGCCAACAAGACTTTTACTTCGTTAAGCAACAAGGAACAAGACGCGACCGTGACAGCTTTTTGCTGGAAGAACAACATATTCGAGCAGGTGGAAATCCCCGTTATTGAGTTGCAAAGAGTTTATTCAAAAAACAAAAAGACAAACGCTTCCATTGCTTACAAAACAATTAGAAGTTTCGAGCAAAGCAAGTTAAAAGTAGCTTTCGAGGAATTGAACATGCCCATTCCGCGAATAGGAGCTTCTATTTTTTACGCCAACAAGTGTATTTATTTATTTGGCGGCAGCCTCGAAGTCAGCAAAAAAAATATGGTGTTAAACGACTTTTGGAAGTTTGATTTGCAAACGGCCACCTGGACTCTGCTTAAAAAGTCGGTAGAGCCAGCGCTTAACAAGCGTTCTAACGGTGACAAAGAGTCCGAATCTGAGTCAGAAAGCTCTGACACATCCGACGAATCCGATTCTGATGACGTCGAGCTCTGCTCTTCTGAAGACTAATAATTAGTTTACCCACTGTGGCTCATAAAAATATAACCAAAGTAAATTGCCGCAATTATGCATTTTTTTCACTCTCTTTTATAGACTCAATTTGTTTTTTTATTCGGTCTAGGTATTCGTTATAGTCTTTTTTATATATTTGAAACGGTTCTGTCTGAGCTGGAGACAAAATATTGGGGTTGTCGAGTAAATCTTGAATGCCTAACAATATCTGTCGAACAGTGATGGAAGGCACCCAGTCTTCGTCTTCGTTCAGAATGGACAGACAGACAGTGCCGCTCGGAAAAACGTTCGGATGGAATAGCACGGTGTCGAATTTGCATTTCGGGGGTTTGATCGGGTAGTCGTCGTCGAAACTCACTAACAGACGGTACCGAGCGCCCGCCCACGGACCCAGACTTTTCCCCGGAACGTAGCAGATCCATTTGTACAAATCTGGTTTTCCATTTTCCTTTTTGTCCGGCGTAATTTCAAAATCTTTCAATGGGTTCGTGCGCAAATTGCTTAGTTCCAGCGCTAAACGGCGCTTAGCTATATTAGACATGCAATTTTAAATGATAAACAAAAAAACCCAGTGAATGGAGGAAAAAGAAAATAGGTTGCTTGATTTTGCAATAAATCCGAAAAATAAATTTTCTTTTACTAGGTTTTTCCGTTTTGGAAACTGACGATTTAACGAATATTGGTCATTAATATATGAAACACACACCACCATAAGCAATTTACACAAAAACAGACTAAACTAAAAGTACTACTTTTGAATCAAAAAATCCTTTATTCGTTGGCTTTCTTGAGTCTCAAAATGGTGGATTTGGCAGAGGCAGCGGCGTCAGTGCCGAGTATCCAAGCTCCTCCGGCGAGCACCTTGTCACATCCTCGGCACTTCCAAATTCCAATGGCTTTGCGCTTGACCGTGTTCTTTCCACAAAATACACAGCTGTATTTGGCGTGGGCTGAAGCTTCGAGTTTACGTGAGATTTTACGAAGAGAAGCTCCGTATCTTACTCCGTATTTACCAGTAATACCGACTTTCTTGGTTCTTCGCGACATTTCTGATTTTTGAAATAATTTTAAATAGCATAATCACGTTTTGTTTTTTTTTGTAATTATTTATAATTTTCTCTAATTATTTTTAAATAAAGAAATCAATTATTTTACGTATCGAAAGAAATGGTCCTTCCAGGTGAACAAGCCCCTCAATTCAAATGTGAAGCCGTAATGGCTGACGGTAGCTTCGGCACCGTTGATCTAGCTGACTATAAAGGAAAATATGTTGTGCTCTTCTTCTGGCCATACGACTTTACCTTTGTCTGCCCCACCGAAATAATCGAATACAACAAACTACACAAGGAATTAAAAGAAAAGAATGCCGTAATTTTGGGATGCTCATGTGACTCCAAATTCGTTCACGCGGCTTGGAGAAACACTGAAATTAAGAATGGTGGTATCGGAAAGGTTGATTTCCCTCTTCTCGACGACCACAGAGGCGAGATCGTCGATGCTTTCGGTTGTCGTGACAAAGTTGAAGGTGTACCGCTCCGCGCTACCTACATCATCAACCCTGATCAGACTGTTCGCCACGTCGAGATCAGCGACTTATCTATTGGACGTTTAACCAGCTCTGTTGTTCGTGTAATTGAAGCCGACAAGCACGTCACTAAGCACGGTGAAGTCTGTCCCGCTAACTGGAACAAAGACAAACAATCCATGAAGCCCACTAGAGAAGGCGTTCAGGAGTACTTAACTAAACATTTAGTTTAAGTTATTTTTCTCTTATATTTTTTTTGCATGTAATTTTCTTTTTTACCAGTTTAGAATTCACAATTAACTGATTATGATATAGATCTAATTCATGAATCCCGTATCATCAAACATTGAAGAAATGGACAAAAAACATTTAGCCAAGTCCGACTCAGTATGTTCTTTTTCGCTCGTAACAAGCCGCGAAAACAGCGAAAAACAATCGCCTAACTCCATAAAACTAGAAGTACGCAAATTCTCTGGTTCGCAAGATTTCGGAGACGTTCATGTCAATATGTTTGGAATTTTGCCACAAATCGAACATACAGAAAGCCGCATCCCGGCACTAGAGCTCATGCTTTCCGATGATAAACTGTTGGAATCCATGATTGGTAACATAAAACACCCAGTCATCAGCAAACTCGTTGAAATCATATGCAAATCATCGCAAGAAACCATTATAAGCCAAATAAATTTCTTTAATAAGCAAGTAGTTGTTAACTCCCAAAACTGGATGCCCCGGGAAGTTGCCGAAGCTCTTACAAAAATATTCTGCGTTTACTGCAAGCAACAGTTTATAAAGATCATAGACATAGAGCGAGCGTCAATTAATGTCGTGCAGGACGCTTTTAAGATTCAAAACAGCGTTGTGTCCGACGTGAATGACATTACAAAATCGACTAAATCAGAAATCCTTCGGACAGCTTCGATATGTTCAGGTCTTGAAGACAACTTTGTTGATAATGTTTACTTTCAGCAATGGCAACTCATTCATGCTGTTTTGAAATTGATTAGAAATATTTGTATCAGTAAGAACATCCAAGCCGTCGTAGAAGATTATCAAATAGGAAAATTTGCCTTCGAACAGTTAATCAACTGTTTTGGAGTTTCAGCTGAAAACGCAAAACTGACCTTTCCGGAGTATCATAAGATGCGTACAGCCTTGACGCACACTGTTATTACGCTTCTATCAAATATAATGGTCGGTAACAAACCTATTACAGATCATTACTTAAATTACTTTTGGTTTGACAATTTAGAACAGCTGTTCTTGATGTGCAAGGACGACTCTTATTTGCTGAATGATTTTATTATGCTAATGCATTCGTTATTTTTTTTTTTGTGCCAAGAGCTTGAAGAAAATATTTTGCCGAGTGTACATAATGAAACTAACACGAAAATCGATGAGCTAGTTGAAAATTTGCGTTTTATATATCAACTTAAGCTTGAGGAATACGATTTTGCCAACGAAAAAATCATTGAAAAGAACAAATTTTTGAACTTTTATGTTTCTATCGCCCGTCATGTTTTCAAGTTCCATCAAGCTAATCTATCGCAAAAAACGAAATTGGAACGACAAAAATCACAACTCAGCAAATATTACTTATCGATTATTGTTGAATGGTTCCATATTTTCAATCTAAAATTATTCTCACTTGGAAAATCTAAAGGTTTTGTAATTGTTCTTTTGCCTATTTTGCATTCAATCGTTACAAACGATGATGACTACGATTCGGAAAATTTGCTTAATTATTTCTTTTATATTATCAACGAATACGTTATTAAGTCCACTGATGAAATTAACATGATACGAGAGCTATCACGAAAACACTTCGATGTTCCGGAAAAAAAATTGAAGTTAAAAGACTTATCTTTGTTGAATTTCGACATATCCGGTTTTTATACGTTTAGCACGCTAAACCAAATTTTTCAACTTGGTATGACGTCAATGGTCAAATCAAATCTTAGTTTGGAATTCACTTTTTTGAGCCAGTATGTTTCAAGCGAAAACTACAAAATTGACACCTATTTGAAAAACTTTTCACTTAAAGGCGCAGAAAAATATTTACACGCCGTCACCAAAGCTTTGATCAGTATTTCAACTTTTCCGAAATTTAATTCTAAAAGTTGTATGCAACATCTATACTCTTTATTTAAACTATCATTTTTGTTTTTAAAAGATAGTGTTAAGTATTATGAGTATTACGTGCAACAAAGCAAATCACCTGAGTTCAATTCTGAAAATTCAGAACTTTATCAAATTCTTCAAGTAGTTAGTTTAAGAGACTTATGCTTGCTGTGTTGCACAATTCTTGAACTGAACTGTGTAGAAAACATTGAGTACTATCGTGAAGACTCAAACTTTGTCCGAAAATTTGTGAAAATTCAAGAGCTCGATATTGGTTGTGAACAAGCTGCTACGTTATTGCTGAGATTCTTATATCTAGAATGATATTTGAAATGTATTAAATATATAACCCCACTAAATTAATTGTCTGGATACTATTTCTTTATTGAATATTTAAATTAAATGTAGTTCAAAAAATCGTCGGCCGTTAAAAACTTATAACTGAACACGATCAACAAGTTAAAATTTTTTTTTCATCATGATTGCATAAAAATCTTCAAAGGTAATGTGCCCTTCCCCTGTAGAATCTACCCGCGTTATTATTTCGTGTAATTCATCGTCTGTAATCATTTCACCTAAATTTTCGCACACTCGTTTCAAGTTTTTAAGTGTTATATATCCTGTTTTATCATCGTCAAATAAATTATAAATACGTCTAATACCTTCTTTAGATTCACGGTTGCCTAGGCAAGCACAAATTGAGTCGATGAACATTTCAAAGTCGATCGGTTTATCGTATTTACGCTGAATTTCACAAATCAAGTTGTAAACAATCGGAGATTTGGTTTCAAAACCTATAGTTTTCATGGTCATAGCTATGTCTTTTGGATCAATTAAGCCTTTTCCTTCGGTATCAAAGGCTTTAAACGCATCTCGTATTTCGTCCAATTCGTCTTGGCTCAGAATATTTTGATATTTAAATTCCATGAGCTGCAAACAAAAAAAACGACAAAAAGATTTTAGCTCTCCAAAGTTTTGTGTTGTGCGCTTTGCCAGTTTTACTTATGCTGATCAAGAAGTTTTGCTGTTGATCAATTTTTTTTGCACAATATTGTTCTTATTAAATCTAGAAAATATTAATTAATAAATATAACCTTTGATTTGCAAAACTAAAAAAAACTAGTTTAGTCAAGCTATTTGATATAAAGTGAAGTATTAGATCATGTTTTTTTCAATGTTCAAAGACTTGTTTGATTCTATCGTGTACATTTACAAAAAACCAAAAAGAGTAAGTAGCGCTAAAATATGGGAACTAATTTTTAGTTTTTAATGAACCTGATTAGCTCAGCATTTTCTTATTCTTTCGTGCTGGCTTTGTTCAGTGTCGCTATTTACTATACAAGATGTGAAACTCCTGTTGTGGTAGTGCTCAGCGGTTCTATGGAGCCAGGAATTTATCGAGGAGACATATTATTGTTGAAAAAAATTGACGCCTTTAATACTGGACAGATCGTTGTCTACCGAGAAAATGTAAAATCAATTCCAATAGTCCACCGGGTCGTTCAAGTGCACGAAGATGATGAGTCGACATGGTTATTGACAAAAGGAGACGCTAATAACGTCAATGACAGAAGTTTGTATGTAGAATCCCCTGTATGGCTAAATTCAGAACACATCATGGGGAGCGCTTATGCAATAATTCCAAAACTCGGATTACCGACTATTTGGATTAACGAAGTGCCATTGTAAGTTACACGTTAAAAAAATCATTAGACTTAAACCCATTATAATCGGGGTGACGATTATCGGAATGATGACAGGCCGAGATATTTAAAATTCTCAGTATTGTTTTTTATTATAATTATAATATTATTCTTTGCAATATATTATTGAATATATAACGTTTCGAAAACACGTAGTTTATCTTAGTAGAAAGTACGAAACAAAATGGCCATCAGTACGTTTGAAAGTTTTTTTACCGTTTTTTTCTAGAATTAAAGCATCAGTCATCCTCGGAAATTGGGGTTTTCGCATGCCTCACCAACACTTACTGTTTAGTAGCAGACAGTAACAACGAAAATTTTTACTTGGCGCTTGACTCCGAGCTTGGATCACGCATTCCCGTCGTTAAAACTACTATTGGTGGATCGACCACTGTTGGTTCTTGTTGTGTAGGAAACAGAAAAGGGCTTCTTGTGTCCAACTCAACTACTGAATATGAATTAATGAATATTCGTAATGCATTGCCAGACGATATCAAAATTCAAAGAGTGGAAGAACGTTTGAACGCCCTCGGAAACGTTATAGCTGTCAATGATTACGTTGCGTTCTGCCACATGGATATTGACAAAGAAACCGAACAAATAATTGAAGACATTTTAGATGTCGAAGTTTATCGAACAACCGTCAACAATGAAGTTTTGGTCGGCCAGTACATGGTTTTCAACAACCTTGGGGGAGTTGTTCACTCAGATTGCCAAACAGCTGAAATCGATTTTCTAAGTGAAATCTGTAAAATACCGTTGGCTCCTTCAACTATCAACAAAGGTTCAATAAATCTTGCGGCTGGAATACTGTTGAACGATTATGCGTGTTTTGTCGGTCACGATTCTACTCAAGTTGAAATTAAACTGCTGGAACGAGTATGCAAAATCAAGCCAAACCTGTAACTCCCCGCGATGCTGCGTTGTGAAAAAAACTAAACAAGATTTCAATAAAAATGTCTTATACAAACTTTCTATCGATCTGAATCTCGAGTCAAAAAATGCGAAATATCCAACGTCTAAACTTTAAATCTTGTTTAGACAAAAAATTTTTTTTTGATTTTTAAAATAATCTCAAGCTAGTAAAATATTTTGCATTAATGTTATATCTTTTTATAACTTTTCCTTAAATGAACATTCCCATTTCTTCGGTAAAAACGTCAAGTGAACCTGTTAATGACCTTTTAATAGCGAAGTCGCACGCGGAACTCGATGCTAAAATTTACGATTCTTTAAAAAAAATTAAATTCCAGTCTATGGTCAATGAAACCGTTGACGACGGTCAAAGTGACGACGAAGATGGAGAAATATTTGCATATACAGACATAAAAAAATTGATAAATAAGTACTTGCTAGACGAAAATCGCCAAGCCAAACATGAGTCGCAAAATAACAACGACGAACTCGAACTCCTATACAAAGACAAAAATTCTCTATTGCAAACTAAAACCGAGAAGTATTGCGAAAACATCATCCAACTTGGAACTGTCACTTCCATACTAGATTCCAACTGTGTCGTGGCCGCTTTCGACTCTGCAGAATACGTGTATAATATAAATACTGAAATATACAATGAAAACAAAAAATTTATTGGTGTTATAATAGACATTTTTGGAAAAGTAGATGCTCCATTATACCTTGTGAGGATTTTAGACAGTGTAAAGAAAACTATATGTGCGGACACGGTATTTTACGTTTCGTTTTCTGCTAACAGGTGCTTCATTACTGAATTAGAGGCAGAGGTAAGCGAGGAGTCTTGTTCAGAATGAAACTCACTCTTCGAAATACTCGTTCACTGCGGCCATGAAATTGCAGTAGTTCTTTTGCAAAAGCGCTATGGCCACGGAACGCTCGATTCCTAGATCTACGAGCGAGTTTATCTACAGTTGGTTTAGAGCTTATTAACTTACGTCTTTTTTAGGATCGTATATTTCTTCTTGAGCATATTTTTTAACCCATTCTTGCGCAGTTTCTTTGAACTGGTCGTAGTTGGTGATGTACTGCTGAGCTACTTCCGCGTCTTGAGGATTATCAGGCTCAATAGATTCCAGCAAAGCCATTATGGACAGTAGCATTGTCCGTATCGACAGTGCTGGAGACCATTCTGACTTTAAAACATCTAAACAAATAGCTCCAGTCTTAGATGATATGTTAGGGTGCCAGATTTTTGTTATGAACTTAACCTAATGAAGTTTGCGATTAAACTGCACTTACTAAAGGAGGGCTGAATGGATACAGTTCGTCTATTACTATGGCTAAATGAAAAATTCCACCTTCATATTCCGTGCCTGTCGGACCTCTGATAGTGCCGATCCAGTAGGAAAGGTTGTTATCGAAGAGTTTGGCGTCTAGTTTTACATTGTCTTCGTGTAGCTGGTTGTTATTGAAATTAGCTAGTTCCTGTGAAACAAATAACACTTTGTATTTATACTTACTTTTGTTAAACGCTGGAAAGCTCGACTGTTCGAATTTATTTTGGACAAATCAGGCATAATATTATTATATTGGTTTTTCGACCACTTAGCAAAAAATAAATAAATTGATTTTTGCCAAAATATTTTGCAAATCCATTAATCTTTTCTTGTGATTTGATTAGTGCACAAATCGAAACACTGCGATTTTTATCGTTAATTTTACACATAAAGTTATTATTAATATTATATATCCATGGTTGCTTAAGAATCAAAATAAACAATACTCAGAGCATGAAACTAATTAAATTGTTACTGAGCACTGCATTATGTATTACAAACGTAGATAAAACCGTTCAATTTTATGAATTCCAGTCCAATATTCTGCAAAACGACGTGCCTCCGTTGCCGATTGTGATGTATGTTTACGGGTCTATTTTCGAAACGGCGTATTATTTTGTTGATCTCTATGTAGGGGCTCCTAAAGTACAAACTAAATCGATGATCGTCGACACAGGTTCTAGCACACAAGGATTTACCTGTGACACGTGTAAAAAATGTAGCAACAGCCATTGGGAAAAACCGTTCAACACGGAAACGTCTCACTTCTTATTTCCAGAGCCCTGTAAAGATTGCTCCATGTGTCATTTGAATCTTGACCCCATCGCGTTAACAAACGCTGTCGAAATTGCTAAAGACTACAAAATTGGTTCGAATGAATTTTATTCGAAAATCGGCGACATTGTGAAAAACAATCCAGACCTCATGCAATGTTTTTACGATGTACAGTATGCTGAAGGCAGCAGAATTTCTGGAGTTTACTATAATGATGTTGTTTGGTTAAATACAAATGAAGGAGACTGGATGGATAAGTTAGATGCACACGAGAAAAAACTATGCCCACACTACCCATTGCGCCAAGGGCCTCCACTTGGGCTGTTGACCAAAATTGGATGCCACACCAAAGAAACGCATTTATTCCGCGAACAAAAAGCATCAGGAATCCTAGGAATGGAGTTTTGGACTTCCAACGGGACAAAGTCATTCCCAACGCTTGTGTTGTCATCGATGAAAGAACTCTATGAATCATACAGCAACTACATAGTCAGTGATTATTGTTCGGAAAAAGTTAACAGCACGGAATTTTCTTTCATGTTCAGCTTGTGTTTGTCGCCTAAAGGAGGGTTGCTCAGTATCGGTGGAAATCAACCGCATTTGCAGCCTCCAGAGTCTTACACTGTGAAGCTACCTTTGTTGGACTACCCAAAAGGATATCATTCTTACACTGTTGGATTAGAAAGTATAGAAATAACTAATTTAGGTAAACTAGCTCCTACTCTGTACTCTACAGTATATTTCAATACCCTAAGATCCAAACGCAACTGGTCTCCCATCCAGCTTCGTCCTAACGCCTATGTTATCGACTCAAACAAAAATGGAGCAAGACGAAAACCCATCGTACCTGTTCTTTTTGACAGTGGAACTACTTTATCTTACTTCTTTCCAAGGCTGTTTAGGGACATACTTCAATCGATAGAATTGAGAGTCGGCTACAACGCACGAAATCGCATGCGTTCACTGTCGTCTTCAAATAAAGGAAACACCGCAACACACAAACCGGAGAAAGTATTTTCTACCGATGAGGGGCCAGCGATAATTCGAGAAAAGTTTTTGAGCCGCAAAGAGAAAAAGGATAATAGAATACAATATATTCCAATTCAAAACGAATTGCTTACAGAAACGCCTAAAAGATTGGTGAAGCTGTCGTCAATTCCGCTCGAGATCAAATCTCGACAATTAAAACAAACCATTTATTCACACCTCAGCAGAATAGCAAGTGAAAACGGGCGAGAGTTGCATGAAGGTGACTCTAGTTGGTACGCCGTAATTGAGCCTAGATATACTGAAGATTCAAACGCTGAAAAAATTCTCGAAGCCGTTGAAAACAAAAATTCAGAAAATGAGAAGCAAGGAACTGAAAATAACTCCAACGAAATTTTGATAGGTTTTGTCGACATTCCGAAAAGCATGGAAGGCGCGCCTCCTCGTGTACTCGTCACCAAAGTAGAATCGTACAGCAATGGTGAATGTTGGTGGTTGCAAAATAAAGCTAAAGACCTGGAGTTGTTTCCAATGCTGCGATTTAAATTTTTCGGAAGCAATTCATACGTAGGCTGGCACCCGATGTCATATTTGTACAAAAGCAATGACGACCACTTTTGGTGTTTTGGAGTCATGACAGATTTGTTCAGCGAAGACATTGAAAACTCGTACGACAACGAAACTATATTCGGATCCAACGCTTTTATTTATAAAGAAATTGGTTTTCACACCGAATCGGACGACTTTACAACTCTTTCAGGCGACTATGAAGACGCAGACGATCTGAATTACTACGTAAACGAAAACGCGTGGTTGAGCATCACGGATTCCATGTGTAAAGAAATAGATTTTGATAAATAAAGAAAACCAATGATGGAGCCAAAATTTTGGCTTTCAGTTTTAACAGTTACCCGCTGTAATTATTGTAGTATTTTTTGTTTTTTATTTTATAATAAATTTTCCGTTCAGTTATCTTCTTTCTAAATATGCATCAGCTACGATGAGTAAAGACTTAAATTTAAGACGAATGGTAATGGCTCTTTTTAAAAATGATTTATTGATTTTTTATAACCAGGACTGTTTGGACGCTATTCAAGAAGCGGTAGCAGAAAATAAAAAAGAAACCAATATTGTGGTCTATACGACAAAAATAAAAACTTCGAAACTTTCTAGCCAAGAATTACTCTCGTGTTTTGAAACATTCGAAAAGTTTCTCAACAAAATTCCTACAAACACTATGTTCACGAGATGCACCGCTCACGTAACCAAAACAGGCGTGGTTGTGTCTGATGTCGTTATTGAATCGAGGTATTTATTGTATCTGTATCGTGATGGAGATTTCGCATTGTTGGATTTTGATGAATCCAATTGGTGAAACAATAATTATTGGGGATGTTCGTTTATCCCATCATCTTTGACTCGTTATCTGGCACATGATGCCTGTATTTTGCAACGCCACGGTCGTATACGGCTTTTAATTCTTCTTTATTGAAATACCGCAACTCCCCTTCTAATTTCTTTCTTGAATCGATAAACTCTGTAAATATCGTCGATTTACTTTGATAGTTTGCGTCTTCAGCGAGCTTTTCCAAGTTAATTGACTGAAAGTTTTCGTTGTAGTGCTTCTGTACAAGATTTGCTGTCAATTTTAAAGCTTCATAAGTGATTTTCGAAAATAATTTAGGTTCACTTGCGTTATCTTTACTATACGATGCAAAAATTTTTTTGGCTAAAAATAATATTAAAGTCGGTATTTTGGTAAATAAGACTTACTGGTTTCATTCAGTTCAGTCAAATCTGTTGCATCAAAAAAATAAGAACTTAAATATGAGTAATCGTCATTTTTCATATCAAAACTATACGCTCTGACACAACGACAATAAAACTCAAATTGTAATTGTCAGAAAACTATAATAATTAATTAATAATTAAAAAAATATTTTGCTTAAATATTTATTAGCGTCAAAATGAACTATTTAGGCTATGTAGTCTTACTTATTTTGAATAATAATGTGATCTGTGCGAATGAAATTGCATTGGACACTTTGACAAAAAAAAAAAGTTTGTTAAATGATCCTGACAATTTGATCAAAGTTAGATCATCAGCGAATTTAAAAGCTACTGCTTACAGTCGCGCTACAGCAGCAATAGAACGGCCCGTTGCGACCGAAAAAACGCTAAATTATGACTTGATCGAAAATCTAGACGATATAAATATTAAAAATAAAACTACCAAATCAATATTTATCGATGCATACATAAAAGCAACCGACTTTATTCTTTATGACGAGTATAACAATAAAAAAAACATTATGGAACTCAGTTTATCAGTAGTAACGGCTTCGCTGTGTTGTTTTTTCTTATTGACACTAGTAGTCACCTTGATATGTTGTATGTTTCAAATTGTTTCAATTCCGTTTTGCCTTTGTTTTCCGTGCTGTTGTAATTAATACTCCAATTGCGTTTCGCCTAATAAAACGATAATTAATAATTTTATCAGTCTCCTTAATATTATTAAATATTAAGAATAATCAATCTTTAAGGGAATGAACGAAGTGCATTTCTTCTATACGCACAATGTAAAACCAGAAATTAGAATTATTTGGTCTTCTGACAACAGCAATTCCAGAGAGCAAAAAACATTGACTTATGCACGAAATGGACATTACAGCATGCTCAGAAAAGCCATGTATTTACAACTATACACAAATTTTACTGGAGAGTTGAGCAAGCACTGGCACTGTCGAGCTAACTCGTGCGAATACATCTGCAATCCTTCGAAATTCGCAAAAACATTCCCTAAATTAATGGGGTTGAAGCTACAGATCTCTTACAAAAAGGAGGATTTTGGGTTTATTTTCAATGAACAAGCCGAAACTACCGTGAATGCCATCGAGCAATCAGACGTAAAAAGCTCTGAAGCAGAGTTACAACCGGAAAAGTTTCTCCCGTCTCTAATCACACCTTTTGTGTCCTTTGGGTGGTCTTTTTCCCTAGCACAACCTGTTATAATCGTGGAAGGCTTAAGTCTTACATTTGGTTCGGGGGAATTCACAGAAACTTTTACCGTAAGTAGGGATGGAGAACTATCCATTTGCAAACGACCGTTAAACTTTTCAGATCCACCCCTGGACGCCAAGTCTTATTTGACAGTCTTTGGCGCGAAATGCGATCAATCTGATTTTTTAACCGCTCCAAAGCCGCTCAACAACTCCAAAAATATTTATCAAAAGTCTTTTTTCAATTCCATCGACATATGTAAAAATAAATTGATGAAAAACGCCGATATCAAAATTAATTTCAAGGACTCTATCATCAAAATAGAAAAAAAAAAAAATCGAGGTCGTCCTAACTTGAAAAAACAAAATAGCGAAAAAGGTCACGCTACAATATCGCCCAGCAATCAATATAATCCCCACGTGTTTAAACCGGCGATCCAGGGCCCTCTGCCATTTCTGCTATAACCTGTTACAAGTTTAAGTTTTCGATTAAGAAGTCTGCCAGTTTCTTTTCGTCGTTCAAAATGTCTTCCTTCAAATAAGTAGTCATGAAATAGAGCTTTCTAATTACGACATGGTCTAGAGGTAAATTATCCAATTTGGAAGTATACAGTAGAACTAGTTCGTTGACCCTCACTTTTCTGTATTTATCATACACTTTTTTATCAACGAGACGAACGTCTGGATTTTCTCCCAACTCGTTTTTCGGAGAAAAATCTAAATTAGCATACGTCGCCACGTTGTAAGTGATCTCTGAGGTATTTTGGTCTTTTTCAAAATTTTTATTATTCACTATTAACAAAGAGGCAAGCCGTGTTAAATAGTTTTCAGCGAAACTCCGAAAAAATTTATAAAATGAAACGTACCTACTGCAATGCTGAAATAGTTTGCAACGAGTTTTCGAAAAATCAACGAGATTTTTTTTATGATTCGTATATTTACGCTTGACGAATTTGACCACTAAATCAAATATTGTCTTCAAGTTTTTCACTCTAAATCGAAACAAAGTAAGGTTTCCTATGCTAAACATATATCAAGATCTATCCAATATTTTTTGGTGCAGCTTAAATTCGTTTTTGGCGATTAAAGTATATATCAGTCGCCGTTCATTTATGAACAGAATTTTCGATGAATGGGCCAGTCTGTTTTTTGGCAATCAACGCCACAATAAGCCACTTTTCTACACTTCGCACAAATATACAGTTTAACTTTTGAAGCTGGTTCGTAACAGTTGTTGCAACGGCTAAGCGGGTCAATAACTTTTGGCTCTTGAGGTTCGGAGTTTTGTTTCAGCATGTTTTTGTACATTTTCTCCATGCTCCAACGATTTTCAGCACTGGGAGGCTTTTGTAACATCAGTTCATAAGAGTTCTTATCGAAATCGACACGTTTAAATTCGTTGTCATCGTCGAAACTGCTGGAAATGATGACCGGACCTTTGACATTGGTCGAAGCAATTCTGGAAGCTCGAACATTTTCGGAATAACTTTTGTATTGGCCGGTGTTATCGACGTACATGTTCACGCAAATGTGATTGTTGTTTTGCGAAGGCATCACTAAAGGCACTATTTGATACATATTATCAATGCTACTAGTATTAATTACGTTATCCAAAAGTTCTTCAGAGTTGAGTTTAACGCCACTTTCTGCGCTATTTTTTTCCATATCTTTCAGTAAGTTTGTCTTTAAAGAGTCTTTCGAAGATTTTTTCAGTGATTCGGTTATAGTAGACCTTTTTATCACCTCTTGGAAGTCTTTTTCCAACCCTTCAAATGTGCGTTCCTCGACGTCCCTAGCAGTATCGTCAGATATCCAGATGTATTTAAATTTGAGGTGTTTGCAATTGAGTATTGAATCCATTTTTATTTTTTTCAGTTACACCGGTAGTTAAAGTTTGTTGCTTTTTTAATAAATCAAGCAACTTATTATTACAAGATATTTCTTGCTAATAAAATTTTATTTAAACCAAAAAAATAATACTAAGTACTAATTTATATTATGAATGGTTCTGAAGATCAAAACAAAAGATCAAATTACTCAAAATTAAATGATACTGAAAAAAGCCCTAATTCTTTCATTACAGGCGCTCTACAAAGAATAGAACAAGAACGATACGATGAAACATGTGTCAGCGACGTACTTAATCAAAACGCCAATACAGTATCGAATTTTAATGATCTTAAATTTTTTCGGTCTTTCATAGCCACATTACTGTTAAATACGTTGTATAATAACAAATGTGAAAATTTTGAAGATAATTTACTAGTCTATTTTAGGAGATTGCTCAGGCAGATTTTATGTGTAGATAAAAGTAACCTAGATAATATGAAGTTTATGTTCCAACAAGAAATGTTGACTAATTTAATGCATATTTTTTCAGACCAGCAAATCGCTCAAAAAATGACTTCGTTAGTATTATGCAACGCTAACGGTTTCATTGAAAAAAATGACGTGACAAAAAGTTCAAGAGAATTTGTGAATTACCTAGATCAGGAAGAACATACAAATGACACTATAATGTCTGATAACAGTTTTACAGATGAGAAGATAAACTGTTTGAGTAGGCTGCAATTTTTGATTGAACAAGAATACAAAAAAATAAATAGTTTTGATGGTTCATCAATCTCGAATAAAAATACAGATCTTACAGAAATCACACACATAAGCGAGTGTAACGACGACAAAAAAAAATTCGAAATAGTTTACACAGTATTGGAAAGTTTGTTTAATCATTATCATTCAGCACTAACCACCTGTAACCATGTAGAATATATTATAGAAGAAGCGGAATCTGCGCTTTTGGATTTGTATAACCAAATTCAGCAACTAGAAGTAACGCAATCTGATCAAACTGAAAATGATACTACTGAAGATTTCATTCAAACTATGCAAAAAAAAATCCAGTTTTTTCTACAAATTTTATTTAGTGGAAACGTTTTAGCCTTTATCCTTTATGAAAATCTGCGCCTACACTCTGCAAAAAAAGAGACGTATAAAATGTTCGACATAGAAAACATATTTAAGTGTTTAACGACATTTTCAACCCAACTAATCAATGATAACTTCAAAATTTTAACAGAACAAATTCAAAAACTCGATAAACAAAAAAGTCAAAAGAAGGAAAGGAGCACAAAGTCTGATCAGTACCAGCTGATACACTCGTATGAGTCTGAACTAAACAATTTAAAAGAACAGTTAAATCAAGTCAACGAAATAAACAAAAACTTGTTGAAGCAATTCGACCATGTTAACTTTAAATCAATCTCAGAAGTTCAAAGTTCAGGAAGTAGTCTTTTCCTCGAAAAACCAAAACTACCAATCAACGGTTCCACAGACATTTTAAACATTGATTTCACTAAAAAGCATAATTCAGTAGATAGTTTAGACGCTAGTTCGAACGAAAACAACGTTTCTATAAAAAATGGTTTGGAAAACCCGACCCTAAAACAAAGCTCAGTAAGATCACATGGCATTAAAACGACAGAACAGACTAATTATCAAATCTCTCAAACGCTTACAGAGTGTGAAATACATCAAGAACCTTACGATTCAGTCACCAATACTCAAAATGATTTGCTTAGAGTACAAGAAGCATTCAGTTTTACTGAAAAAGAATTGTCATATTATAAGTCTCTATATTTAGATTTAGGTAGTAAAATAGAAGATCAAGCGAACCAAATCGGATCATTGACCGAACTTTTGAATGAGGCAAACGAATTTAATATTTCATTGACTGCCGATAACGAAAATTTGCATAAAAGAATAATCGAGTCAGAAAACAAAATCGATCAGTTAGAAAATTGTAAGACGCAATCAGGTATAGAGATTCAAAACCTAAAATCTGTAAAAGAAAATCTGAAATCCGATTTAGAACAATTAGTTAGTACGGTTAAAATGTCTGAAAACAGACGTGTTGAACTAGAATTAAAGCTTAAATCAACTGAAGACACAACTGTTGAAATCGTAAACAGTTTCGATGTTGAAATAGAAAAAATAAAGAATTCTTGTCAAGCTGAACAAACTCAAATGCAGAAAGAATATGAAAACGAAATAGCGCGTTTGACACAAACTATTGGCATATTTAAACAAACAATTGAAAATCAAAAAAACGTTAAACAAGATTCGTCAGCTGCACGTGACGTTTTAGAATATCCAAAGCTTACAGAATTGACTAACGATTACTCGAAACTTACTGAAGAAGTGGAGTCACTGAGATTGGAAAACTTGATTTTGAATCAAAAGTTATGGATAGCTGAACAACATATTAGTGAATTTTGCAAACTTAATGCGGTCAACTCGAAACCATTTTTTTGGCAGTGAAAACCTAAGAATTCAACTCATTAATTAAACTATAGCCAGTTACATAAACCCACACCGGGAAAGGAAGGTAAAATCGTGCATTGAACAAGTCCAGGTCAGAGTGTTCGGGAGAACCTAAAATATTCATCACATAAGTCATAACATTGGCTTCAATTTCATTCTCCATGTCATTTAAAGTTACGCTTTTTTCTAGCTTGGCTTCCATCTCGTCACAAGTCATAATTTTAGGTTTATCACAGACAAAAGGCGTTTCATACTCAAAAACGTCAATTTCTTCCGATTTAACTTTTTGTTTCAATATTAAAAATATTCTTTTAATAAGCTTTCGGAACTCGTCACTGGTAGGGTTAGGATATAAATCCGCAGGCAGCGGAATACAAGTTTCACTTTTATTTAATTCCATTCTCCAGAACGGACTCTTTATATATTTCGACATTGTTTCAAGTAAGTCTAGAAAATGATTACCTTCCTCTCTCGTGTTAGTATTCAGGTTGTACTTGAACAAATTATAAATAGTGGTACATATGGTTCCAGACTTGTAAACTCGCCACTTTATCGATTGTGACATGTTTATCAAAATATCGGAGTTTGATTGAATGTATTCTGGTTTATCGTCAGTCTGAAGTAATCCTCGCACATCAGTCAAGTCAGCTATGACATTAAGGAAATTCGTCACTAAAATTGAGTCATTATTCCAAACACAGAAACATGATGCAATACCGTTTGTATATTGAGTTATAATACTCAATAAAAAACCTAATAACTCATAATTTCCATAATCAAGTAAGTCTTCAAGAGAAAGTTTTTTCTCTACGTTGGTTTGATCTGCTTGGACCACAGCTTCATATAAAAAGATCACTTTAGAAATTTGGCGACCTTTTATTTTATTAAAAAAGCTCAACAATTCTTTAGATAATTTTTCTAAACAATCCTTAGAGATTACGCGATCAAACTCGCCTTTAGATGTAATCGCAGCTTCAGAAAACACTAGTTTCGTTTCTAAGCAAAATATAATCGGGTGGCTAAGTTCTATATCAAAAGACGCTAAATAAGAAGGCTTAGTGCTAACATATTGTGTAATAGTGGAAACGCGGTTGTTCGGTAATGTGTTTAAAAAAGTAGCATTCAATTGGTTTTCATCAAGTGACATAGAAATAATTGAAGTTGTTTTATTAATCAACAGTCCCTGGGGAACTTGATTGTTTTGATTGTAGTTCAGCAACATTACATTAAAAAAAAACTGGATAAAATTTGGTTGCTCCGAAACGCAAAAAATTTTATGAGTCTCAATTAAGGAAAGAGAGTTTAGGTCAGGATTCTTAACTTCCCCAAGGAACAAATTAAAATATTCCTCTGCTAGTTTAGGCTTTTTCATGAAGTCAGACGAAGTCAGAGAAACAATCAGACATAGACTCTTCAGTACTTTATCTACAGAAGTACTAGTAAACTTATCTTTTTTAGAAATTAAAACGTTTAAGTAATTTTCCAACCACTGCATGATCTTTGAAAAGGGATTGGGATCTGATTTTTCTCGTTGTTGTAGAATTACATCTGGTTTATTTGGAGCGTTGGATTTGTTGGTATACCGGTTTTGGCAGGAATCAAATTTTTGCAATATTTGTTCAGCAGGTATTTTTGTGTCAAAAATACCAAAGCTTTGAGTTTTGTAATTTCCCTGTGGTTCAAACAGTAAGTTTTGTTTGGTGTCTATAACTTGGTTGCTAGTAGGCTTTCGAGAAGTTTCAGGCGGGGGAATTGGCGTAGGAGCTGGAGGTTGTGCTGGAGTAGACGCTGAAGATTGAACTAGTGTAGGAAGATGTTCTATTCTTAATGACTCGAGATAATCAAGGATGGAGTTGTCAAGTTCAAACAACGTTCCTTTCACGATTTTAATGCGATCCTCTTGACTTAAAAATTCATCTATTTCTTTGCAGCTCACAAGTTCTTTTACAATAGATTTCTTTTCGAAGCAGTCAACTTTAATCGTGGCATCTTGGAACTCGACAGTCTCGGTTTCCTCGTTCAAGTAGATTCCAACGGCTTTACAAAAACTCGTACAGTAAACACTCTTCATATCTTTGAAATTAAAAACCTGTTTGAACATTTCAAAAGGCATAGTTCTTAGATATGTTCGCACACGAGGGTTGATGTATTTAGCCAAGGCGTTTAAACGCATCTCGCCAGCGTTGCTCAGAGCCAACATTTTGATCAGTTGAGACAGTTCACCAGTTTTAACAAAGTAACTACGAGCCAGTCCTTGTTGATAACTTTGCACAAGGTCAAAAACAATATTGAATTGCGCTCCTTTTCTGATCCGTCTTGGCAACTTTGAAATAAATTCAAACAAGTTATAAGGGTCTGTTTCAGCTATGTTATATAACAGTTTGTAGCAATAAAATTCTTCTTGATTAGGACTGTCGTAAATCAGAAGCGTGAGTAGAAGATTGGCTTCAGACTGTTCAAGTTGATATTTCGCACATAGTTCTTTTGTAAGACGGGCCTGATCCTCTTCTGTTATTTTTTTCAGCAACAACTGACTGGCAGAGTAACTGCACAGTAGTTTGTCCAAACAGGTAAGAAACAAGTCTTTATGTTGCACTGCGTCGAATTGCGGATTACTCAACAGCATAATTTCGCTGTATAGTAAAAATCTCAAAGACATTTCGTACGCCTCTATCGTCCCGCAGTGTGTTAACGCATTTTGAACAGTGATATCTTGCCAGATCGCACGAAACCTGTCTCTCAAGAAGTTGTATACGTCTAGATAAGAATAAGACTTGTTAATTTTAGTGCGATAAAGCCAAGGAAGAGTTGTCTTGTCGGCGTTAAGAAATAAGAACAAACATATTTCAGTAGTTCTTCGACACCAAGGTATCGAACGCAAGTCGTCGCAGTCGAACTTTTTGCTCGCGTCGCTCCTCTGAAAAGATTTTATGCATAGGAACTTGTTCACAAACCTCGTGTTGCATTCCTCGTCATCCACAAAAAGTCTTTCGAAATCGTTTGTGGTCGATGTAATTTGCTTTTCAATCATCTCTTGAATTTTGCACATTCCGTACAAATTCCCAACGATAGGTTTTCCAGTTGTTTCTTGAATTGAGATCTGGTTGTGTTGGTAATAGATTGATTGTACTTTATTTAGTGCATTTTCGAAATTTTCCGAATAGTTAGGTCGCATTAAAGGATGCGGAGAGTTTTTAAACCACCTTATAATGCTCGGGTCGGAATCTTTTGAAACTTTAAGTAATTTATCTGCGTAAAAGTGTTTCATACTAGTTATAAGTGCAGTATCTAGACATTAAAAATATGAAATATTCAACACATTAATTTTTTCTGAAGCGTAAACCAAGTCAAATTTAATTTAACCAAATTAAGTTTGGATTGTAGTTGACAAACGGAATATTCAAGACAAGATGTTTTAGTCAATGAATTATCAAGCCATTTGGCGTGGAATACTAAGAAAGACAAAAATATTAGTGCAAGTAGAATATCTTAGAATATTTTATTTATTAAACTTATAAAAAATAAAAGTTAAAAAAAAATCAAGCGGCTTAACCCTTCAAAACGCCTACGGGAGCGAATTTAACGCACTTCAAACTGATTTTCGATCTTTCACAGACATTGACCACGTCATCAATGTCTTTGTAGCACTCTGGAGCTTCTTCAACGGCGGCAGCTTCGTTGGCTATTTTCAATATAATGTTCTTTTTTCGCAGATCAGAGAGCAAGTCCTCTTTCTTAATGGTCGATTTTGCTTTAAATCGAGACATAGCGCGTCCGGCTCCGTGACACGTGCTGCAAAAGCTCATGTTAAGGCCTTCATGAGTTCCTAAAAGCAGATAACTAGCCGTCCCCATGCTTCCACCAACTAAAGCAGGCTGCCCAATTTCTCTGTATTCATCGCACAGCTCAGTGGCCCCCGGAGGCAGAC